CATCAGCTAGATCATAAGTCTTTAAGGCCAGTCAATACCCAAAGTTACTATTGTTGTTCACCTTTTTAGAAGATGTGGAATTATGGTAATAATTATATACAAAAATAACAATGAAATGCAAATTTTTAACCTTGAACAAACTTAAAAGTAATCAGATGATTTAGAACCCTGCAGGAGGTCATTTTCACTCCAGTTGTTACATCACTCAGTAATACTATGTATTTAGGCCCTGTACCCCATAGTTATTTCTTTTTCTATTAAAGGAGGATGTCCCCTCAGGGTTACTGATCTGGGATTCCCTGCTGACCTGCTTCACTGCAGGGAGTCACCGTAATCACACAGAGGTGGCTTTGAGGTAAACAGGTTTATGTTGGGAGTATAATAGGTGATTGTTGAAAATAAATGTGCCCTTGCAAATAAGAAATCAACTTCATTAGCAAGGTAAAGAAAGACTGCCGTATTTAAAACACCAAATGGATATTCAAACATACGGTAGTATTTCCAACTTACTTTTAAACAATAAATGGAGTTTGGGATTTTTTACATTTTAATCTGTCAGGGTATAGACATCAGAGTTCCAGAACAAATAAGAAAATAATTATTGATCCTTTAAATACTTAATAATGAATTTTTTTTATGTCCAAACTAGTCATGCTAAAGGCTCTGTATGAAACAGACTTAACCAATATTTAGGGAATTCAATCTATTCAGGAGGCAAGACTTTAATTCACCTGGCAATAAGATTCTGACAATAAGTTTCTGACAATAAGATTCTAGTAATGAATAAGTCTAGTCAAATCAAGTTTGTCATGGTATGAAAGATTAAGAAAACCATTGTCATTGCAACTAGCCTTCCACTTCTTTGCAATATCTCATACTTAGTAAGTGTTGAAAACACAAAGAAAATTTTTAACACAAAACAAAACAAAAAAACTTAGAATGCCTGGCCATTTCAAGTTTTTCAGGTGTATCCAGCCTTCTCACAGTTAAGCTTCTATAAATTTCTTTAACTTGCATTATGCACAGGTTGGTCAAATTTTGCATATGCATTTTGTTTTTGGCCTGTTCAGATTTTAGTTCAGGGCTGCATGGTGATGCAGTGGTTAGCACTGTTGCCTTGCTGCAATAAGGTTCTGGGTTTAATCCCCAGCCCAGGGTCTTTTTTGCAGGAGCTTGCATGTTCTCCCTTTGCATCTTTGGGTTCTTTCCTGGTACTCCGGCTTCCTCCCACAGTCCAAAAACACAACTGTTAGAATGATTGGCATTCCTAAATTGTCCTTATGTCTGTGAGCATGTGTGTGCATGGTTGTATGTCATTGTGTCTCTGTTCTGCCCTGTGACAGACCGGAGTGTACCGCTTCACAGACTGCAGGAGATAGGCACCAGACCCACCTCGACCCTGATGGAATAAGTGGGAGAAGATGGATGCAGAACTTTGTTCACTTTAAGCTTTTTAAATGAGTTAGATTTTTTATTTTTTTATTTTAGACTTAACTTTTTCCTTTTGAAAGCCAGATCGTCTTGTCAAATAATATTTTTACTAAAAAGGTAACGTAGTGTGAACTTAAATATCTTGTTTATTTTCTGATTGCATATATTCTTTGTTAAATCCAATGTGTATAGTGGTACTTATGTGGTATCATCTTTGGCATTTATCAGGAAGAACTGAAGTCACTGGGTTTTATAGCCCAACCCAAAAGTTTCTTAGGTGCAACATTTCTATCCTCTAGGCTGCAAATAATTGCTTGAATTTCCACTTCCCCAGTTTGTTCCTGGCTGTTAACTAATTTTCATTTGGGATTTACTCATCAAAGTGCTGTTTTTAATTTAAAACCACAAACAGGCAAAGGTGAATCGTAACACTTAGTTAACTTTATAACAAACATGTACTTTCAGTTGTAGTTTTAATATGCTTTACTTTTATGTGTGTTTAAGAAATATCATTAGTTTACTGACTTAACCGAATAAGGAACAAGCATGCGTTACACACAAAAATGGACCAGGGACTTGCATTTTAGAGTTTATGATTTTTTTCTGTTTGTTTTTGTTTAATCTCCAACATATTTACATTTAATTCTGTAAGCACTTTCTTAAGTTTTATTTGGAAAATTAATATTTGCTGAACTGTCTCTCCTCCCTGAGTTTTTATTTTACTATTAGATTTTTGCTTTTAGCAATTATCATACCTTAGTCTTTCAAACATCAGGATTATCAGGTAAGTAAAATTTCAGTCCGTCTGATTAATTCTTTATAAGTTTATTAAATAAGTTGCTATACTTGCCCTGCGACACAGTGGCGACATGTCCAGGTTATACCCCGCCTTTCGCTCATAGACTGCCATATATAGGCACCCGCCCCACCAAATGGATGGATGAATCACATGTTGTATTCTGAATAGCTTTCTTGCCAAAAACTTTTTTTTCTCTTACTTGAGAAGGCAACCTCTCTTATTTATGGAAGGCAACCTTTTTGTACTTTACTCATGTAAAAATATATCAAGGTAGGTCTACTCTTACTTAAGTACAATTTTTGAGGGCTCTACTCACCTGTGCAGGCTGGGTAATTTCAGCTAAAGATTGTCTTAAAAACTGTGAGACACAGAATATATATGCCTAATTTCACACAGTGTAATTTAAAAACATCCGGAACGCCTTTCAAGAGATCAAATGGTTGGATGATTTTATGATTTATTTTTAACATGGTAAGAATGGAAAAATTGTGCTTTTTAAATTACATAAAACTAAAATGTTTTCCTTATGAAATTGTTTGACTGCCCGGATTAAATGTGTTTGTCACTAGAAGCTGGTGCTGGCTATTGTTAATTGCCAAACTTGAATCAAATAACTGATATTTTTTCAGTATGAAAAATGTAAACATGTTACTCATCTTTAGAGACTGAATCTTGACATCACTGTGGTAGTGAAGATGAAAATTTTTTTCACTTGCTCTGTTTGGTCTTTTTTCATTAGTAAAAAAAACCCCAACGTGTACAGTGTAATAGCTTGTCTGAGTGTCCGTACAATAGACAGTTTTTTTTTTTTTTTTTATCTGAGGAGTTCTTTCTAATATGAAGATTAGCTAAATAAAAAGCACCAGTCTCCACATCACCAACTCTGCAGGGATACAATAGCTTGAAAAATCTATGGCTTGGTGAGAATTAACTGAAATATGACTTATTCAATTATCCAGGAACTATTTGACAGCCTTAAATTAGACATTAGGAAGTTTTTGTTGTTGTTGCTGGCTATACTTTTTTCATACCTCATCCGAAATAATTAGGTTATCCTCAGCTCTTTTCTATATTTATGCTGCTATAAATTTAGGCTGCTTGAGGACATAGGGACTACTTTTCATCATTCTGCTTTATTTTATCTTTCTATTCTCCCATTCTGCAGTATTTGTTATTTCAACCCATGTTTGTCTGCTTCTTTCTCCTTAAACCCCCAGTCGGCCTTGGCAGATGGCTGCTCACACCAAGCCTGGTTGTGCTGGACGTCTCTTCCAGTTAAAAGGGATTTTTTTCCTCTCTACTGTTGCAGCATGCATGCTTGGTATGAGGAATCGCTATGGAGTCAACTACAAAATGCAAGCGAATATCGTCACCACATCCTGATTCAGGAGCAGCATGTCTTGCAAGTTATTGACTTAAAGCAAAAAGCTGGTTTTCCTTATATAGAAAAATTTGAACCAATCTGATTGTATGATGGGATTGAACTGTCTCTGTAAAGTACCTCAAGATGATCTGTGTTGTTGATTGTCTCTATATAAATAAAGTATGAAGATGGATGGATGGATGGAAAAAACACACCCGTCATCTCACCTCTTTGCTATTTTGTAACTTTGTACCTATATTTGCTTTTGTTGTAATTCATCACCCAACTTCGCCGTTATAAATTGCAGGCACCTTCTGTAGGATAATGAACTCCTTCTGTGAATCAGGTTACATTTAACAATCTTGACTATTACATTTTATATCAATGTTTATATCAATGGTAACTGCTTGGTGCAAAACTTTGTTACAATATACTGCGAATAAGTAGGAAGACATCAGAGTTACTTTGGCATCATCTGAGGTAGATATGTAAGATAGTTCATGAGTTAAATTCCAAAAAATTATTAAGAACCAAAATAAATTCAATAGCATCTGAAACCTTTTCAGGGAAAAAAATTTGATCAGAGAATATAAATTGTGCAGGTATTGGCATTTTTAAGAGTTTATCTCAAGAATTTATCAAAATTCCCCATTATAATGAAACTTTACTATATATCTGATGAACAACAAGCAAAGTATAGGAAGGAATGTACTATAGGTGCAAAAACAAACAAACTAAAAACAAAAACAGGAGGAGGGGAAAATTGACTGAGGGCTAAATGACACAATTTCTCATGGGCATTATTATTCTAACATGAAAGCTGCCTTGGGTGGACTCTTCCTTCAACACTAAAGTTACAGGGGATTTACTTTGTTTGAACACGTTTCTAGGCATACTCCACAAACAAAAGGAATTAGATCATTGTGGAATCCTTTAGTTTGGGTTTTAACTTTCTGTATTGTGAAGTTTTCATATTTGTCTCAGATTAGGATTGACTTAATGGAAGATTCACTCTTCAATAAAATTTTGAATTGTAGATGATCAAATTCAGTCTACAAAATAATAGAATTATCCTTTTAATTGGTTCCGAATCTGAACATTTTAAAGACCTCCTGCAGCATTACTTATCTGTGGCATGTAGCAACGTCTTCCTACATCTGCACATATTATAACGGCTCTTCTTTGATGGCAGGACATTTTTTCCGGATGTACCTGATAAATGACCTTTTTTGAGTATTCATGCCAGCCACTGAAGGTAGACAAAGCTGCAAAAGCACAAACTGGTTTGTTTAAAGGTACAGATTATCAAAAGAATGGAGAAAAATTGCAATATGAAGATTTAAAATTTAAATAAGAATTAGAAACCTTCGGATCCTCAGCATTGTAAAGAAAAATGAAACAAATGCATCATCATTGACAATAACTGTATTTTTTCATACAAGACAATATTCTATTAGTGCTCAGGATTCCTGCATAGGGTAACAAGAAGAATTTCACACAAAAACAGGATAAGCCAGCCTCAAATATCTCATTGTATAATTCCAGATATGCATCTGATGATCACATTAGATACGAGGGAACTGAAATACTGGCATCTGTTTCTGTCCCATATTTCAGCATGCACATCAGCCAAGTGAGCATTAAGGCGAGCAGAGCAAGGACGCTGGCCACCAACAGGCAAACAGGGCCGACGGGCGACGCTATGTGGTTGAAGTTGTGTACAAAAATGAGTCCCAGAAATAAAAGCACCACCATAGAGAGGACGGAGAAGATGGCGCACACACAACCCGTGGTAAACGCGATGTTTTTGCAAGTCTCGCAGCTTTTCTCGGTGCCAGAGGATTCGGACGGGCCAGACCGTCCTTCCCTGCTTGATGAGCTCGGATCCCGCTGGGTTTGCGGCGGAAGAGCCTCGATCAGCGCGTTGTTGTTCGGAAGGTTCTGAACTTTATATTCCAGAAGCGGAGTCCGGTGGCGACACAGCGGGCAGCCGATTCTCCATCCCTGACCCTCTCGGGAGTGAAGCGTTTCGAGGCACTCCTGGCAGAAGCTGTGGGAGCAGCTCAGCTGTTTGGGAGTGTGGCGCTCCAAGTCGAAGCGGTTGTAGCAGATTTTGCACTCGTATTCTTCTTCTTCGTTAAACTGAGCAAAACCAGAACCGCGACGTTCCTGGACGTTCTCCGCCATGTTTACCCATATTACACCGATCACACATACATTCAAATCAAATCGCACTATCACATCATCAGAAACGCTATTATATTTCATGTGCGTTTATTTGTCCGTATTTTGCGCCGGGGGGGCTGACCAGGTCTCAGACCAGCTCGATCCGGTTCTCAGACTTGTGTAACAGTCCCCTAGAGCGAAACTCGAGATCGGGTTTACTATAAAGTTATCATGAAGCATCAAGCCAAAGAGCAAGAACAACAAAAGACAAAAAAGAAGGAGGTAAAAAACAATCAAATCAGTGGATGTGTTCAGATTGATGTTCTGATTCGTTCCCTGTCACCTGGCTGGTGTCACAGCGAACATCATGTGTCCGATATGCCCTATTAAAGCGTGTAATTAAAACTGGGCACCTGCTCTGAGATGAAAGAGCCCCATCGGAGGTGTCACTTTGAATTTCAGCACCACAGTCAGGTGACAGCGCCCGACAGGACGGTCTGCTGTGGCGTCTTCAACAGCGGTGTCTGGCCAACATTTCCAACAAACCTGAAATACAGTGTTTATTTATAAATAGCTTACAAAGTTAAGATATATATCTGAAGAGGAAGGGAAATATAGCCTACACGTTTCTCCCTTTTATAACATAAACGTCCTCCATTTTTTTTTGACATTGCTTTCAGATGTCTGTAGTACCTTGCATATAAAAGTGAATATATCAAACTTCTTTTTGTGTTCCTTCATTAATGTTTTCTGACAATAATAAGAAGCCCTCACAGAACAGCAACGTTTAGAGTGGACACGAATTACTAATAAGAGTAAAAGCTTTTTTTTTTTTTTTTTTTTTAACAGTCATTTTGTTTTTAACTCATTATGATGTATTATAGAAAGAGGGGAAATTGCTTTGTATTGCTCTATCACATACAATCTTATCAGATATATGAAAAAGTAAAAGTGGAACAGGATGGATATTTTCCGAGGTACTAAAAGTCCGTCTATCTCAATGTCTAATAAATCGATTGGATGACATATTTATGTGTCATGGATGCAAGGATGAATTGCATATCTGCCAACTTTCTGTGCTGGTTTAAAAAGCAAAGTAAAACAAAAAATAAAAAACCAAAACAACAAAAACACAGACAAAAAACAATGTTAAAAACAATGAATTGTTGAGGAGCTTTACATAGCCACGAGTTTCAAAAATGATTCTATAAAGTAATTCCCAACATAGATCAGAATCCATTTTAACCTCATTATACAGTGTACATGCACAAAATGCACATATTACTTTAAGGTTATATTATTCTTGCTAGCTTTAGTCAGAATAGTTTGTACTCAATTGCTTTCAAAATAAAGTAGTTATGTGTCTTTTTAGCACATTCAGTTTGATTGCATACAAAAGTATTTATCAGAAATAGTTATAGGCTACTTTAGAATAGGATATTACTCTAACCAAAACATCCTTTATCTTTTTTAATATAAAACACAGACAGATGTGTTCCCCACTTTACCTTTAGCTAAATGCAAATACATAAATATACAAAAATAAAACAGGTAACGTGTTTCAATCTGAATTTCATAAACTCTAATTCTGCTATCTTTAAACAAAAGCTCAAATGCGCCCTCTTGTGGATAAATGCAGACATGCATATAAAGTCATAGGTGCTGTACTTGTTGGATGGTTTTCTGCTTTATCTTCCTAAAACTGACATGGAATTAGATGTCACTTGCAAAGATATTGAATAAGTGAGGTGGAAGGGCCTGGTTGTGTCAGTGGTGAGAAATAATTGCGATTAAACATTTGTCTAAAAGTCTATTTTAATGTTCAGAGGCCTCATGTGCCCTGGCATCTTTGACTTGAGTTTATGCCGATATTATTCTCACTTCATGAGAGCATCTTCTCAGGCATAAGTGATATAATTATAAAAAATATAAAAACATAAAATACAAATTATGAATGTGTGTGAAAATTCACCAAAACAGTAAATAAACCACAATTTTAAAAAATCTATGAATTTCACCAAAACACTCCAGGGGTTTCTAACAGTTACACATTTCTTCATAACACTATTAAAAAGGTTGGAGCATTTTCCAGATCATTTACACCCATAGTTGTGTTACAGTAATAATTTAAGGAAATAATGTAAGGACACTTATTCATAACTGTGAGAATACTTCATTGTGAAATACTTCAAATACAGAAGGCTAAATAATGCTTATATATATATATATATATATATATATATATATATATATATATATATATATATATATATATATATATATATATATATATATATATATATATATATATATATATATATAAAATACTCTTCCTTAGCTTTATGAAAACTGCCTTTTATTTTGGTTCTAAATGTGCCTTATAGTTGTTAATATTCAAACAAAATCTGAAGGACAAAACAATGTGAGATTTCAAAGGAGGGAAACTTTTGTAAACTCAAATGAATACAAATCCTTTCATATTTTTTTTTTAATCCTTTGTTTTTAAACACTATGTCCTGTTGCTATATCCTTTATTGGTAATCAAAATATGGACCTTCGAAGATAGAAAAAAAAGGTGCCTTGGATTAGCAATGCAAATGTACCAAGTTTGGTTTTCTTTAATGAGTGGGCAGGAAACTCAGCTTGCTGTGTTATCACAACATCAGGTAACATGACTTTTCCCCCTCTAAAACACAGACAGGAGTTAAGTAATTTCAGGCAGATAAGAATCTTACTGAAGGTGTGACTGCATGTTTGTCACGAGACCATGAACCATTAGCTTTGCGGTTTTCAGTTTGCATTTGTAGAACTGTTAATTTAACCCTGCATGCCCTTTGGCTTGAGCTTTAAACAAATGCTTTGGTTGTCTGTTTTGTTTTTTCTTTCTCACCTGAGTTCACCTTTGTTATAGGTTCAACCTGAAGCCCCTTTGATATGTTTTGGGGCCAGTTATATTTGATAAGATCAAACACATGAGCATGCCTTTTGATAGTGCCTTGTAACAGTAACCACAGTGAAAGAATAGGTGTTCCTATTCCAAACCTGTGACCTTCCTGAGATGTTAATCTTAAATGACAACTTGGTTGTTCCTCTATGTATATTTTTGACCATTACACTAAGCCTAATATGCATTTATAGCTACGCAAACTTAATTAGGACAGCAGTTTTCTGTTGCTGCTAAAATGCAGGTATGTGAAGACTGATGCAAAAAAAAAAAACTTTTATTAGCTGTTCTTTACTAATTTATGTTTCTGATGTAAAACTGCTGTAACTCCTCAAATTAAAAGGCCCTAATCAATAAATAGGAAATATATATATTTTTTTCTATTTAGGCATATTCATTTCCAATCTCTATAAAAAGAAACAGAAAAATAACAGAAAATTCAGTATGAATTTTATAATAATATGTCTTTATACTTTGTGGATTCCAGGGCCTCCTACAAACTAAATACAGTTAAAACAGTTCCATCCAGCATGTCTATTTCAATCTTACTAACACGTATGGTATTTAAACTATCACCAAAAATATGTATCTAAAAAAATGTAAATATGTCAATATGTACAGTAGATTAAAAATACCAAATGCTCACAGCGATTATCTGAACTCTATAATATTATATATGATAGCAGAATGCAAATGTTTCTAAAGATGCATTATCAAAGGTATAATGGAGGATTTTCATGAATTTTCTACTTAAAAAAAATAAAAAATGCAATTGCACAACCCTGTACCCGCTCTCTAGAGGGAACGCCTATTAAACGCGTACGAGAGCATGAACGATCCCATTTCTACTCTTGCACACTCTGTTTAAAAGTTGCTGTTTGTATCGCTCATACAAGCTTACTTTCCTAAAAAGAGAGTTACAATTTTTCCACTATGTCAGACTCACAATTCGGTAAGTGAAAATGGGGACGAGCACGTAGGATGGCCTTACATAAACATATCACCAGAATGATTGACAATTAGGAAGACCACTTATTTTGATGATCCACCCTGAAAAAGAACATCCTCCACCAAACCAGCACAGCAGTGGCTTGATTATCCGAGGGCTTATAAAAGTTAGGCTAATGCTGCTTTTATAGCCATCTGTCATTTTCACAAACTAAGATCTCTAAATAAAGGCAAACATACAGTAGAAGCTAAATGAACGTTACTTATGCACTTATACATCCAAATAAATTTCTTTTTAAACAATATGTTTAAAGCTTTAAACTAAAAGTAACTTGCTTTGCAGTTGTGGACATTGTTATGTGTCTTTTTTCATTTATTGAGTTAAAAAAAAAAAATCAAATATGGCTGATTTTGTATTAGATTGGCCCTCAAATATTGTTATTTTTTAATGTTTGAATTTATAAATATGAAAAATTTTTGTTTCCATTTTTCACTTTTTGTTTAACAATTTTTTTTGAAAGAAGTTCAAACTTACAGCCCTTTATTTTTGGGTTGTAAATCTAAGATGAAAAACTGTAGGAATCTCAGGATTTTCTTTTTTACCTGCAACCTCAGTTAGCAGGATAAAGGGAGGAAAAGACAAGTGTAAAGCTGAATGTTAGAGAACATCAACAAAGGGTGCCAACTTTCCTACCAATACAAAGGTAAACATCAATTCGTTAAACCATCCTGAGAGTTTAACTCAATCACATAGGATTAAGATTGATATTTTCAGCAGCAAACACAATGGGTGTAAAACAAGATATTTATATGTGTAAATGTGCATTATGTTGATTGTTCAGATGGAGGAGTTACATTTCAGAGAATCATGAAATTAGAGAGATGTTTTAGATAGAAATCTGGAGGACTTTAACCGTAAATATTTAAATTGTTCATTTTTTTCATTTATGTGTGAAAATCAGAAACATGTTGCCATAGCAACAATGAAATTGTTTATCAGACACAAGTTTGTGGTTGAGCTTAAGGTAACAGTTCATAAGAAACAACTTAGAAATTAGGGATCTAGAGAGATGGTTTAAAGAGAAAAGGCCAGGTTTCTCTGTATGTTCCAACAATGTGAAAAAAACAAAGTTTGACCTCATGTCAGGAGACCGTAGTACAATTTAATGACAGCTAAGTTACCAATCATTGTACCACTGGTGTTTCTGGCAAAAAGAAAAATGTTCCTCTCCTGTTGAAGGGTTTTCCCCTAACAGTGAGGTCAACCTTCATTTCGATGAGAGAACATACAAGAGTCCAGCCAACAGTTCTAAACTTTTTCCTATGGCTGACTCACAAATATAGGCTTACTTTTAATTTAATGAAAACATGGAAAAAATATAGTGATTTATTGATGTGACTGATTTAGAAATACAGCCTCCTGGTCTCTTTGTATATTGTTGTATTTGCTGCAAGATGCTGTTTCTTTTCAGGATCTTTTTTTTTTTTGGGTGGGGGGGGGCTTGTGTCTGATGCAGCTTGTCCACCAGCTCTGCACATTTCTGACCCAGCTCGGCCCTTTAATTGATTTGACACGGTAGATCCAATATCCTTTTCATGATAGTCAAACTTTACTGTGATAACTCACTATGGCCCCTATTCTTGCTTTTATAGATGTATAATGTTTCTACATTTTTTGGGGTCCACGCCATTTTTTTACTGCCCACTATCTTGGGAGTAAAATGAGAGAGAATATGGATTAAAATCTGAGTTTAAAATTTTAGTGCCACACAAACAGCATGATACTTAGTTCTTACTTATTTAAATTCACATCTTCATGCTTCTTCTGGCTTAGCTTGTTTATTTGGATCTTTTGAGTGGAAATGTTGTTTTGACAAGCATGGTATTTTAAATCTCTGCATAACTTTGTCCCACAGAAAGTATTTAAGTCAAATTTTGGAATGCGACTTGCAGTGAATGCAAAGCATGACAATTTTTTCCTTGAGGGACAAAGAGAAGGCGAAAAAAACGTGTCGGTCTATTAAACACGCCTAATTATTGCAATTATCACATCTCTACGAGCTTCAGGAAAAAAGTCAAGTGATCCCTCATGTGGGCCAGGGTGTCAGCAACGCGACATTTTGCACGGATGTGTTCCACGGCCGTGTGGGCCAACCACGGCCCCGCAGCAGCGCCCTTTGTTAAATCAGCGCGACCGCTGTGAGAGACCACGCGGAGCTTTTCTGACGTGGGCCGAAACTCGTGGAAGAGAACGGATCCTCTTCTCCACGCTTATCCGCGTCTTGTATTTCTGCAGTCAGCTATTGTACAAGATCTGGTTTGTGCTCATCAGGTGGTTTTCTTTGCACAACAAATAATGGCAATTTACGCTGCTTTCAAAGTTCAGTTTTACTTTTCAAAAGTTATATATATATATATAAAGCATGGCATATATTAACATTTGCTCTATTTTCTTGTCAAAATTAGGAGTTACACATTTAAGTTTGAGTCAGAGAATAAACCATCTAACTATTGATGACAGGCATAAATGAAAATGTTTTAAAATCTGCTGATCTGCAACATTTTAAGTAAATCAAGTTAGCTGGAAAACATAGTAGTTGCTTTAGACCCTTATTGGTGTAGAAGTTTTTTACCTTTAATTTTAAAACGTTTAAACCATTCCAGTGAAAATAGTCTTAGCCTACTGCTTCACTGGTGAATGTTGTGAGAAGTTGATATTCTGCAGCAACATGTTGAAAATGTTGACCGACACAGGAGGTTGAATTCAGATGAATTCTGTCTATATGACGAGAAAGTATCTTGACTTTGAAATATCACTAACAAGGTGATAGAAATAGCATAAAATAAATTAACAATATTTAGTATAAATATTATTAAAAAATATATCTTCATTGTAAAGATCTTATCATTATATATATAAAAAACAACAAACAAAAAAATTCTAGTTTAATGCATAGGTTCGGTTTCTTTTGATTTTAATTCTTCTCCCCAAAAATAACAATAAAAAAGTCATTTTTCTCAAAGTCAAATATTCATAACCAATATTACACCACAGATACTACATGCATCAAGATAGTTTAGAAAAACTATTAGACATTGTTTTATTTCATTTGTTTGATAGCTCATATAATAAATAGCCTAAATGCACAAAGTTTATCAAATGTTGTGAGACAGAATGTGTTTGAACGTTTGCAGCTTATTGAGTTGAACACAAATATATCCCATTGAATGAAAACAACAGCTGAATTACATTTTTGATATTTTAAATTATATTTAATGAGATATGCGAGATTATAGGTTCGTGTTGGATATCAAGCATAGAGCAAATGACAGCAGGGTTGACAAAGTTAACTTACAAAGACTGCTCAAAAAAAATACTGCAACCGCTTTTGGCATTTACTTAATCGTAATTAGTTACTGTAACACAATACTTTTATGTACTACCCTGCTAACATGAAACTATTGTGTTAAAGTAACTAAATATGATTAAGTAAATGCCAAAAAAAGTTGCATTATTTTTTTCAGTGTTGTTTCATGAGGGAGTTTCCCCAACTTTGCAGAATATTTCCACCATAAACTCATCCTGGGGTCAGTGATGTGGTGGATTCTCTTCTATTAATCCTAAATTGCTCCAGGCTCACTGATTTACATTTATTTACTATATCAAAAACGTTTACAGTTATGAAAACTTTAAAGCAAACACTCTCATGACAAGTTGACCTCGTGAGGTCAATACAAGCGCAACTTCAGCTCCTTCTGTCCAATCACTGAGCTCCCCCTTCTTCCTAATGTCCGGCTCCTCAACCAATCAGCGCAGCCAGCTGAGAGTCAGAGGGGAAAGCGTTCACAGATAAAAATCTTTGACCAGCATCCATCCTCTCAAAGCATCTTTCGTATCCTCCGAGGACCTTCCTAAAACCCGGAGTATCTGTTCTGAGCTCTAGTCCGGCTGCTGGGATAACTTTACGCAAACATCTCTGCGGCCTGGATAACATTTTCTTCTCCATCTGTGGCAACCTGTTACTCAGGAATTCTGACGGCTGTAAAGGGTAGCTCACATAAAAAAAAAAACAGACAAGAGTTTATTTCTTTCTGGATTAAAAGTATCAATCAGAGGCAACTTTACTCCTAGTGACAGAAATTGGAGGAAATATGACGGCGCTGGCAGGAGGCTTGCCGAGAATGATGAGACCGACTCCTCACCAGAACTACAGCCGGGGAGGATACTCGCTGGAAGGTAGGAAGTCAACACCAGTTGCTAATGGAGATAACAAAAAATTGAGAAAAAAAAAAAACACACACACAAAACCCCCCCCCAAAAAACAAAAAACTTAGTAGGTTTTGTTTTTATTTGATTTCTTGAAATCAATAATAATAATAAAAAAATGTTTGTGAAACAAAAAAACAAAACAAATAAATAACAGCATTGTATAACTCAAGGGAATAAATTAAATATTTAGAATGATAAATGATATTATATATATTGTTTCAGATATTTTTATATTACATTTTCTGTTACGCAAATTAATAAATCAGAAATGAAGAATGCATCATAGTAAAAACCATCTTTTAAACTTAAATGTAGGCTATACAGTTGTTTTTTAAAATGTAATGGCAGAGTAGCCTATTTTATGATATTATCTTTTGGTATTAGTCATGCGTTGTTTGGGAAAATACAGTATCCGGCTGAATAAAAGCGCTCCCTGTTCAGTTTCCACTCCATTAGGGCAGGGTCGGGTCAACCAGCTCGGAGGAGTCTTCATAAACGGCAGACCTCTTCCTAACCACATTCGCCATAAAATCGTGGAGATGGCGCACCACGGTGTCCGGCCTTGCGTCATCTCCCGGCAGCTGCGGGTGTCTCACGGCTGCGTCTCCAAAATCCTCTGTCGGTACCAGGAGACGGGCTCCATCAGGCCGGGGGCCATCGGAGGCAGCAAACCAAAGGTAAGGGGCTCTAAATCCACATGCTGGGTTTTCTGTGCATATAGGTTAAAGTAACAACCTTTCTATAGAAAGAAGAAGGTTTGTCGGAAAAATCCGAAACTTTTTTTTTATCATTTCCTCTTTCTTATTTTTTTATTTTTTTGCAAGTTTAATATTTTACTTCATCTGTATTTAAAAAAAAAAAAAACCTGTTATGTTGCTACTTATTATAATATAAATGATTTTCAATCATGTTGTAAGTAAGTAATTGTATATAAATAAGATTTTTCAGAATTCTGTTACCCACTCCACCCCCTTTCCTTCTTCTTTATAATAATTTTTTTAAGAAATTTATCAACATACTGTACCATTTATCTATTATTTAATATGTTAATACACTGTTACACATATATTTGCAAAGTATCTGTGAACCTTTCATTTATTTAATTTTCTCCCCTCTTTAAAATAAAAATATTGGTCCAAATCCAGTTGAAGTTCTACCTACTTCTGTTTTTATGCAATGTGCATAGAAAAAAGCAGGACAAGTGTCCTGTTGTCTGTCATTTAAGAATTTTAAAAACTATACAAATAGAGAATAGAGTCATGGATGATTAGAATGCCTGTATATTTTCTACATTAAGAGACTTTGTGCCTTCTTCCAAGACTCATATATATTTTTTTATGTAACATGACTTTTCCTGTTTTTCTCTTTAAAGCAAAGTGCTTCTCCAGAAGTGGACAAGAAGATTGAGGAGTATAAAAGAGAAAATCCTGGCATGTTCAGCTGGGAAATTAGAGACAAACTACTGAAGGATGGAATATGCGACAGGAACAATGTTCCCTCAGGTAAATCTAAATTAATATCATAAATAAGTTAGTTTTGATAACAATAACAATGTTCAAATTCTTTGAATGCTTATATAGCTGTTTGGGAGTATTTTGGCCTGTATGGATAACATCTATAGCTCTATGAAGACCTAAGTTATCCTATTCTTTACTGTTTCTCAGTGAGCGCCATCAGCCGTGTAATGCGCTCCAAGTTTGGGGGAGTTGGTGAGGATGAGGAGGAGGAGGATGAGATGGTGAAGAGGACGCTGGAGGAGAGCGAACCCCGGACGAAACACAGCATCGATGGTATCCTGGGAGACAGATGTAAGTCATCTAAAATAATGAAAAAGTAGAAAAAAAAAAAGTAGAAGATCAGATTTCCATAACAGTATTTTATTAGCGTTATGGTGCAGTAGGTTCCCCATTCAAAACAACAAAAGCAACCCAAAAGAACAAAAAGTCAACCTTCAAAATAATATCATTAATTTAGCTATCCATTGAAATCTATTATTTAAAGTTTTAAACAGTTGCTTACGTTATGTTAAGGCGAAAAGAAAAAAAAATCAAAATCAAAACAACAAAAAACAAAATAAAACAGTGGTTGTGCAGACAAGCTTTAAAGAAATCCCTTCTCTGCCTTTCAATCATGAGAACAGTTTTTTTTTTTTTTTCACTGCACTATTCGGAAACTTGAGGATGAACTTCATCGAACAAAGCGCAGAGAGTCTATTGAGGCTCACACCTCAGTCAGACATGCACAAAAAGCCAAAGTCCAGCAAGTAGGGCGTTGTCATACAAAAAGATGCCGGAGCTTTTATTTTTAAATAATGAGGTGAGAAAAGAAAGAAAGGAAGAAAAAAACTACAATGACAAAAAGGGGGTGAGAGAAGACATCATGAACTCGCAATGAGCGATGAATTATTCAGGGAGCTCCTGCGCCCTAATTGCACAAAGAAATGCCAATTTAGGGCCTTCTCTCACTGTTAGAACACTTTTCTTCTTTTAAAAGAAGCAAGGACTTTAAGACAAACACCTGTTGATTTATAACCTGTTGGGGACGCAGCTCAAAGGGAAACAGGGACATAAAACATGCAGTTTAGTTAATAATTAATAGCCTGATAGATGTTGTTATTGCCTGGATATGTGCACTTTTAATTGTAAGTTTTTTTAAAGTCATACAAGAAAAGGCAGTTGGGCTCAAACTCTAAATTTTGGTATTTTTGCAGCCTTTTTTGTCTAGAGTAGAAACCTTGACGCCTTCAGTGATCGAGCACAGGGAAACTGTTCTCCTCACTAGATTAAATCCAAACCCTTTATTTCTCTTCACTTTCATCTCAGACTGAAGTCCGCCCCCTTTTCCTTTTGGCCCAAGGCGACCACATTTAATACGGGGTCTGTGTTGGGACACTTCCCACCCTCTTTATATAGCCCATAGCCATGGCGGGACAAATCCACTGACTTGGTAAAATGAGGTGTTGATTTTCTTGAATAAAAATAGAGTAATCAAAGTTATCATTTCTGTAGCTTTAACATCTGGAGAATGTACTTTGTTAAAAAAGTTTTATTTTACTTTTTTTAAATGAAACATATAATTGCTTATTGGGGCATCCTATATTCAAGCATCCCCTAATCCAGATCAGCTCTATTTCATTTCATTCTTGTGTCTCTTTGTGGAAAGCAGTAGTTGTTTTTCTCTTTTATAGCACTTCATTAGAATGTGAAAAGAGTGGTTTGGGGACTGAGGGAGGGTCTTCTGGCCAAATATTGATTAAGTAGGTGTTTGTAGAGGCCATTGTTGTGGCAGGGAGAGGCCTGTTGCTCTCTGCCCCTCTCTCCTCTACCACTATTGTTGGCTTTCCATTAAGTTCTAAGATCAAAGCTGACTCATTTAGATTTATTTGTCTGGGAAAATGAGAGCTAAGGTTTGTGGGATAAAGTACACAGTGGCATCAGTATGTTGCTGGGATGTTGTTGGAAAAGCCATTTTTCGCGCAATGTGAGCATTTTTACTCATATAGTAAAGAATTTTTTTTTTTTTATTAGAGTTAAAGGGATTATCATCTGTCATTTTAATTAATTAAATGCATTTGTTTTCACAATATCTCAGTTTTATTTCTTAATCATGCATCAGTGTCAAAATTGTTGTTTTTCTATTAAGGTGCTTGATTTAATTGATGGCATCCTCCATCTATTAGTGTTAGCACATTAGCCTTTAGCCTCATTTAACTAATTAAAGTAACCAAAGTCATAAAAGACAGCCACTCTTGCAGGATCTTTTATGACAGGACGGAATGGGGTGGGGGGGGTTGAAGACAGAAAGAAGAAGGAGGGGGGAAAAGAAAGCTCAGAAATACAAACAGTCAAAGGGATAACTTTTCTTTAAAAGGGAGTCCTGCCGAGCCAGAGTGAATGAGCCCAGTTCTTTCAAATGTGCCATGGTGAACGCAGTCAACATGTAATAATTGGTCTCATTGAGGTGCATTCCAACAATCTGCTGCCATTCTCCTGCCTCCATTGTGCAGAGGCAGGCAAATAGCCAAAGGGACAGGAGGAATCAAGTGCTGACAAAACATGAAAGATTTAGCTGCTTTTGTCACAGGAGCTGAGTAGGACTTTGTTTGTGTAAATAAACTGGGGCTAGATAGGCTCCCTGGGATCTTGGCATGGGTTTAGGATGAGGGATATTATGTGAAAGTGAGAAGGACTGAAGAGTTAATGTCTGCACTGTAGCATATGTGGAGTTTTGAAGCTATTATAATGAGTGCGTAGCCCTAGGTTCAAAAAACAGCAGGGGAGAAAATGTGACACCAGAACCTTTCCACATCTACTATCTTTTAGCAGGAAAGGACAGATTGTTTAATGCAGTGTAGTAATATCCTTCAAGTGTAACTGATATTTTTTTAGATTGTGTGACTTAATGCCCAAACACAGCCAGAGGAATGTCTGCTCTGATCACATTTCCTTTATTTAGGGCTTTATTCCTTTTTTCACATGGTAATAGTGTTTATATTGCTTGTTTATTGTGCCAATCTGCCATTTATAAAACAAATCATAACTTAAATATTCAGATAGATAGGTTGCACAAGAACCTGAAAGTGGAGATAAAATGTTCAAAATCTTTTTAAAATATTTGAAGTGTAGTCGGTATTGGCATTAGCCCACCTTTATGGAACCAGTTAATGCTTTGTGGAACCTAAATGAAGTAGGAATTTGCTGCTAGAATTTAATATTGCTACTTTACATCCAGTCTAACTAAGTTTTGAGTATTTCACAACCACAATAATAACAGATATATGTTTAAAAAAAACTATATTCTGTATGTGCAGAATTTGCACATATCTAAAATTATTGCCAATTACAAATTCTTGTGTGGTATGTCTGCAGATTATGCCCATGTTGATTTTTTTTTTCTTTTTTTGCCATCTTGCAAAATACCCCAAACTTAAAATGGGTGTAAATTTGTAGCAAATTTTAAGTCTTGCAGAAAATTCATATGATTTTACATTTTCATATGAGTTTGCATTTTCCTTTAATTTTTGGGCGGAATTTGGCTTAATGCATCCTTCAGTGAATTTTGGTCAGCTTTCCTGTCACTGTTCAGAATGGGTGCTTTGCACAGCATGATGCTGCCAACACAGTCTGTGGCTGTGGGGTTTGAGTAATTGGAGGGATATGTTGTGCTAGTTTTCCTCTGTATATCAAATAAGCTCTAATCCCCCCCAAAAAATGGGATTAGAGAAAATTAACCATATCGTTTTTACCCAGACTTTTAAAAAAAGGCCAGATGTGTGAGGTGTATGACTTAGCTGACTTGTCAACAGATTCTCCTCACCTGACCTGTGGATCTCTGCAGCCCCTCAAGATATAGTCTTTCTTGATCTTCATGCTATGGTGTGGTCTAGGGTTTTTTCCCTCTAATATTTTGTAACAAACCTATGAGGTCTGACAGAACTGCTATGAGGTAAAATATAAACTTGGACTCACACAGACTCTATTGCTAATTAGACCAATTGCTTACTGAATTTTATTTCCGTGTGTTAGAATAAAGGAGGTTAAATGCACTGCTTTTTCATTTTTGTTTGTAGAAAAAAATGAAAAAGAAATTTTTTTTTCTTTTTACCACTTTGCTGCTATGCACTGGTTTTAAATGTTGCAGAAGTACATTCAAATTTCGGTATGGGATATGCCAACATGAGAAATAGAAATTTAAAGGGAATGAATACCTTTAAAATGTTCTGAAGGTGGATAGTTGGCCTCCTAAATATAAGCAGTCAAAACGTTTCTCCTTTTTGTAGAATAATTCTCAAGACTCTCTTTCTTCAGAAAGAAAGAAAAAATCCACACTGGCTTATCTGCAACTGAATACAGACTCTATGCTTCATTAAAGCCTCTTTCTCTGCTGGCACCCACAATGTGATCCACCCAATATTAATTCAAAGGACAATTAATGAATGCAGGCCAACTTTGAAGTAATGGGCCGGGGTCCTGCCCCAAGCCAGCCCCTTGGCGCTGATGTACTCCTTGTATTCTCCCTGACTAACCCCAGAGACATTGCAAAGTGACTGAAAAGAGAAGTACCAAGCAATAGAAGGTCAAGAAGAGGAGCCCCAACAGAAAAAAGAGCTTTCTATTTCCTCCAAGTATTAGCCAAGCAAAACTCTGTGATGGGGAGGATAAAGGGGCGTGAAGAGAAAGGGGTCGGGGGCATGGGGACTTTGCAAAGAGGGACACAATGAGATGGTTAATTGAGTAAAGCCAGACAGCGTTGTCAGTCACTTAACTTTGTTTAGGCTAAGTTTTTGTGGAGTTCTTTCGTCTTCCACATTGCACATTATGGACATGCCAGCAGAACTCTGTTACTGACTGATTGATGGCTTTTTAAAAATTAAATTTGTTGCTCTAGAACCTCTCATTTGTAACACTGAATATAAAATACACAGAAAATAACATTACATTGAATTTATGGGGTTGACAGTAAAAGTGAGCAATCCAGTGAAGATACATATATTTTCTGTTTAGCATTACTTACGTTTTCTTGAGTTCCATCAGTGAGGCTGTTTCCACTGCAGTTCCATGCAGTCGCTGTGAAAAGGTCAAGGGCCAGATTGGGGTCACTTGACTGTTACAACTATTAGGCCCCAGGAACTGGAGGTTAGGATAATGTTTGCAAAAGATGTCAACTCAAAAACTTGTGTAAGGATTTCAAAGCAATGCTCCTGCACTTCTTTGGAGTTAAATATCTTCTTAGATTTGTGTTTACCAAGCAGTGTTTTTTTAAAATGTGATGCTTGATCTGGTTGTCATCATTGCTGGTTTGTCTCTGTTTGACTGGAACATGCAACAGCCTAGCTATTTTTGCTTACAGCCCAGTGTGAGCTCTGCAAGTTGCTTTGTCTGCACACAGAGGGTGGAAATGCCACCGTGAAACCATCCCACACTGTGCATAAATAATAGGCCTGCAGGGCCATTCGCCGCTTCTTGTCACTGTTGCTGTGATGGACAGAGATACATCTTTCAGCTACATATCGCCAGCTCCTTCTTTGTCCGTTAAGTGCCAACCTCCTGTGCTCTTTCGCTTAATTTTGTTTTGTGTCCATCACATCATCATCCTACTCTCTTTTTATTTCTATAACCCCCCCTCCACTCCCTTTCCCAGGCAGCTGCAGGTTTCTAGGGGCTCTTTAGCAAGTCAAGTGAGCAGCCCACTCACTCCCATTTTTTCCCTTAAACTGTTAACCCCAGCTGAGTCCATAAGCTGTCAGTTTACTATTCTTCCCCCCTTCGTGTGCATCTGCTCGCTTTGGCTCTATGCGACACGCAGCTATTTTATTCAGTGGCCCACTCGCACCAAACTCCCTGGCCTGAAAGGGCTAGATCTACTTCCCTGGGCAAATAGCGAGTTCATTTGTCTCTTATGCCCTTTGTTTTGTGTTGCAAACACATGTCACCAGCTCAATTACCTTCTCTATTAAAAGCCCCAGGAGGATGGGCCAGCCAGCCCCTACTAAGACAAGGCCATAAACTGGCCCATATGTTTTGGTTTATCTGTCCATATGAGATTCTTCATTTCTTATCCTTTGTCACACTTTTCATCTCTTTTATTTACCATTCCAAACCGCGGGTGTGGACTTCTCTGCACATGTGAGCAAAGAGTAGGTTTTATGTAGCTTTAGCTGTCTTCTTATATTAACCTCTCCTGAAAAGTGAGAGAGAATGGAAGAAGGGTGGATGTCCGCCAAGATGAGCCTGTGCAGTAAACAAGATCAACCTTTATTCTCACGCCAGAAATTCTTAATGCTTTTATTATTTTATGGGGTTAGCATTTATATTTTAGACTGCATTTTACCTCTTGCTGATTCATGTGTATTGTTTAGAGATAAAGTCTGTAAAGGTATTTTTAAAAGATAATTAGTCTCTAATTACTATATTATCAGGTTTTATTCTGAGTCACACTAAAACTTATTTAAATAGGACAAAATAAATTTACTGACACAAGTCATTCACGACATCTTAAAATATGCTTGATCTGGCAACATAGAGCATTTGCCTGCTGTAGCTCTTGTTAACCTGCTGAGTTAAAATTACATTAACATACAAATGCCCATCATCTGTTAAATGGCAAGATAGCAATTAAAACATTTCCTTTTCTGAAAATTTAAAACACAACATCGGGAACAGTCAGCAGTGACTTAGTCCATAATAAACTTAAATGCTGTTGCTTCCAAAACAGTTTTTATACAGTTACACAGAGAGGGTTGCAAAAAAAAATATCTCAGTATGTGTAATAAGATGTTAAACTAATTGAAAAATAAAATAAATAATAAATAAATAATAAATAAAATATACTTAATAAAGAAAATATAATATTTAATTAAAAATACATAATTTGAAAAAAATGATTAAGTTCAGCTAAAATCCGTATTGAATGAATCCGATTTTAGTAATAGTTATAAAGAAATTGTACTAAAGCACTTTTGTTAGCAACTATTATAAATTTATTACATAAAAAAAATCAATTAAAACAACAAATGTGAAAAAAATGAATGTCAAATTTAAAAAGCAATACATAAGCAACAAAAAATAAACAGTCACAAATAAAAGGCCTTATAATAAAAGAAAGTTTCAAACAAGTTTTAGTTCTGCTGCTAAGATAATAAAAAACTCGTATCTACCCCCTGGTTTTAAAAGATGCTCCATGGTAAAGAATCAGAACACAGCTTTATGACTAAACAGAATGTGATATTAAGAATTTAATGTCAGAGCTTGAAGTTGCTAAGGAAAATTCTGCCTCTTAGGGACTATGTTAAATTTTCATTTTTGTCCTGATCAAGCTGTTATTGAATTTTGGGTTGCTCTAGTGTTTATGTGTAAACATAAAAATATCCTATATTTACACTTAATTTTGAACACTTGGTAACAATGAACTTGGTAAAATGTTATATTCTTTAGTTCTTTGGGTTACAGTAGTCCAACTATGAACTGCTGTGTTAGATAACAAAGGAACTCGTCCTGTATGGGATTTACAGACATGAATAGAGCATTCTCTGTCACCTGTTGCTTTATCTACTGCAAACCATTTGGTTTGGGTTTTAAAGTGATGCCACAGTTACTTCCCTTTTAATGCCTAGTATCATCTCCTGTCATTGCTGTGCTGAATGTGTGGGAACAAGCCTGCGCCTGCATTGGCGTGGCTTTAATTCATTCCAAGGCAGTGTTAGAACAGTGTTTTAAAGAGTTGGAGATGTGGATGTATGGAGATGGGTGAATCCAGGAAAGAGACAAGTGATGTGAATAGCTGAGGTGAAAAGACAGGTCCCATTTTTTTTTAACAATCGCTGCCTCCCCCTCATTCACCATAGCTGTGCACCCTCCACCTCCCACCCCCACCATCTCCTTCAGGTGCCTTCAGCTTTCCTTCTCCTCTCCATGTCAACCCTTTTGACTTCCCATCCCCCAGCTTTGTGCCCCTCAGGCCATGGAATGAGGGGATATAGGGGTGCTCCCCTGCTGTGCCCCTCCACAGCCCCAGTGGCCCTTCTCTGGACCCTTTGTGCCCCCTTTTTTCTCCTCCTACTCCTCATTCCCCTACTCCAGCCCCCAACTTACTCCCCCCCCTCAGCTCCCCTGCTGGGCAGGTGACAGGCCCCTGAATGAGGGCCCGGGCGTCCCTGATGGCTCCTACAGATGGAGCGTGGTAATCGGTCCAATAGAGCCCTGCCACAGGCTTTTCCCCACTGTGATACAAAGGCTCAGCCACATCACTCCCCAAAAATAAAGGAAAAAAGGGGGTAAAGAAAAAGACAGAAGAAAAAGACAAAGAGCAAGTGGAGGATGACAAAAGCATCACTGTCATTTGCCATTAAGATTCCAAGATGGAGTGTTTTCTCTAAAATTACAAATAATAAAAACAGGATAAGAAAAAGAGGAAATGGCAAAAAAAGAGAGGGAAAACAACAAAAAAATTTAAAAAAGAGTTGGGGTGGGGGGAGTGATCCTATTGTTAACAGATCAAATTGATAACTGTTGCCTTCAGGTTTTGAAAGCTTTCGTTTTCTCAACAGAACAGAATTGTATTTTTGTTAAATTAAATACTAAAATTTGTTTTATTAAGCAAAATAATACAGTTCATTTCAGGAGGATCCTCAGTTAGTCTGTTAGGATGGTGCCTCACACTGGTTTAAATCTAATAATAAGCTTGTCTCAGAGTCAAGATCTTTTTTTTGTTTGCCAGCGGGTTTTTGAGTAGCAGCATTCCCAGAGGCCAAATCCATGTATAATGCCTGGTCAGACACACACTGGCAACCACTGCAAACATTTCCTGCCTTCCTTGCAGAGGCTCCAGAGGCAAAGCGAGATCACTGCCCCCTCCCTTTACTCCCCAAACCCCCAAATGTCTGACCTGGCACTTTTTTAATTAAAGCCTATAAATCTAGAGGATTACAAAGACTGAGGTATCTGAGACAGAACAGCCTTTCTCTTGCTTACACCTGCCTTTTCGCTTTTGAGATTTTTTTTTCACTATCTGTTCATTGTATGAAAAAAGATGCATGGACCTTCCTGATTTGGTCTGGGCTTGATTTAGGTGTAAATTTCAGTTCCATCTCTTTCTAAACGCATTGTGAAAAGCTAATATTCCAGAAGCAGCAGATGGTGATGGGCTGTAACAGGTCGTCATTTAATTTAGTCTTTAACAACTGTGTAATAGCACAAATGTAGAGATACACTGTTCTCTCAATAGTTTCTACTGTTTATTGATTTCTCTTTTCTGCTGAGTTGCATGGCCAAATCTCTTTTCTGTTAGTTCCTCCTATCCTGAGAAAGCAGATTAAGAAGCACCTGCAATGGGCTCCCTTTCCTTTGCTTCTGAAAATCAGTCTAACACACAGCATGGCTGATGCTGGGAGAGACATGGTGTCCCAGGCGATAGATGCCCCAGAGCGATCTTGTCCTCTTTAATCCATGTTCAAGCAGGCTTTTGCTTTTGATCCCCTGGGAACCACTGAGGAGTTTAAGAAATCAGGAGAACACAATCTACATGGCTCTATGTAAAGTGCTGTGCAGCAGCTGATAAGCTTTTTTAAACTACTAAGTCTAAATAGAAACTATCTTATGTCTTATGTTAATCTATTAAACATCAGTTCTGAGGGATGAATCCTTTTAAAACCAGGTATCTGATTTTTATAACGAATTTAAGGATGAAAAACTTTCTTTGTATCATTGCGATGACTGAATAATAGGAATTATCTTAACCAATTCACCAGCTCTAAAATTAGATCAATTAGAGTGTTTAAGTATATGTTTAAAACTGGTTCTGATTCTGTTCCACTGAGCAACTCAGCAGCTTCTGGAAAAAACTGTTGGTGGACTTATAAAAAAATATCTAGCTACATTGTGCTACATTGTGCTCTTTCACAATGAAAAAAACATATTCCTTTTTTTTTGACATATTTTTTTAGAGACAATCAATTAGCATAAACTAGTCTTGTGGAATTAATGCTATACCAGGATTAATTCATTTTTGAATTGAAGAGTTCTAAAATGCATATATTTCATTCAATCAAAAGACAGTTTAGAACGGATCCTTTCATTGAGTTGGTTGCAGTCTATATCTGCAACACACATTATGGTCTGCCTTATGTTTGATTGTGCAGATACAGGCTGCAATGCCTAATCCTGTGTGTGCAGTCTCTCCAAATCATAAACTAATGTTTTCTTTTTCCGTTTCTAGCTAGCCACTCGGACGAGGCTTCCGATGTGGATTCTGAGCCAGGCCTACCTCTAAAGAGGAAGCAGCGCCGCAGTCGCACAACCTTCACGGCTGAGCAGCTGGAGGAGTTGGAGAGAGCATTTGAACGTACGCATTACCCAGACATCTACACGCGAGAGGAGCTGGCTCAGAGGGCCAAACTGACAGAAGCTCGAGTTCAGGTTAGAAACATGAGCACACATGCAAGTCTTAATCCTAACAGCATTGGAATCTGTTAGTCTGAGATATCTGGGTGTTAAGTTGTCTTAGGATGTTGCTACACATTCTTCACATCCATTAGACATGTGTTCTATCCCCAAAACACCCCAGGACCCCTCCTAACACTTCCCCTGTCACTGAACATAGTTACACTCACAGTAGCAACTATATACAATGACAGTTTTCTATTTATGTCAACATTTTGCGAAAAGGGGGCTATGTTAAGATGTGCAAATAGATGCTTGATTTAGATAGGCTCTGGATGTAGCCTTTAAGAGTCATAACAGCCCTCTGGTGTTATATTAACTCTGTGTTTTTAAGTAGCACACAACGAGGTGGTTTCACCGCTCACCATAGATCTTAAGCATAGTTCCCTATAAAGAGATAAGACTTTGCATCGAAATATTATAGATGACTCAAATCAAATCACACTTACAGTGCTTGCTTAATTGTCTCTTCACAGATTTCCACATTTTGACTGATTCCAAAAGTTGAAAAGAAGTGTAATGTAATTTTATAACATAGACCAATGCACACTAATACACTATTATGAAGTAGAAAGAATGTAATAATCTTCCCGTCATCTTTTTTTCTTTATCGGGTGATAAAAAAGCAAAAAATCTGACCTTCTTCTTGGCATGCTTCCACAATGGCTAGATTTTTAGAGGAAATGACAAATAAATGGATCCCTGTAACTCTCGCAGAGTTGTTTTATACGTCTTCGTTTTTCATCTGGTTTATGATTTTCTTTTCCAGCTATACTCCTGTTCTGGAGGGTGGGTTAAGTAATAGTTCATTTCTAAACCTTCGGATATGGTTTTATAGCCTAAGCCTGGCTTAAACTTAGCTGTAAATTCATTCCCGGTCCAGCTTCTATGTTCCTTGGTCTTTGTGATGTTTGAGATGTTCCCTCTTACAAACATCTGAGGTTTACACCGATCAGTTCTTTAACATAGAGATTTTATTTTTTCCCTTTTTTTTCTCCAGCTTTTTGTCCTTACATGCAATAAACTCTCTGTATTTAACCCATGTTCGATTCTATTTTGCTTTTAGGTGTGGTTCAGCAACAGAAGAGCTCGGTGGAGGAAACAAGCAGGAGCCAATCAGTTAATGGCTTTTAACCACCTTATACCAGGCGGTTTTCCGCCATCAGCCATGCCAGGCCTCCAGCCTTATCAGCTGTCAGAAAGCCCTTACCCTCCAACCTCTATAGCTCAAGGTGGGTATGAGTAAACAAAAACTTGCTTCAATTAACAAACTCTTGTGACTTATAACAGAGCCAATAGACATAATAAAATTTAAACTGCATAACAAATTTCTTTTTTATTCTCTGCAGCTTCTGAACAGCCGAGTACGGTCCATCGGCCTCAGCCTCTACCGCCCACCTCCGTCCATCAGAGTGCACTCAGCTCATCTGGAGCTTCCCAAGATGGAGGCTCAGGATATTGCCTTTCTTCTGGAAGACACAACTTCTCAGGATATTCAGACAGCTTTGTGTCACCAACAGGACATGCTAACACCGTTAACCCGAGCATCAGCAACACCATCTCACCACAGGTCAGTTCTATTGAATTAAATCAAACAAACACAATCAAATCAAATCATGTTATTTTTAGGCAAAGTGTGCATCATAAAGCAATTCATTTGTTTAGGATAGTTCAGCAGATAATTATAAACTACACATACTTGTCGTCTTCCGTTTCATCCGATACTGGGTTGCAGTGGCAGCAGTCTCAGTAGAGACTCCCAGACTTCACTCTCCGCAGACACCTCCTCTTGCTCCGCTGGGGGAAGCCTGAGGTGCTCTCAGGCCAACGAAGAGACGTAGTCCCTCCAGCTTGTCCTGAGTCGTCCTCTAGACCTCCTCTCAGTGGGACATGCATGGAACACCTCCTGAGGGAGGCATCCAGGGTGCATCTGAAAAAGATGCCTGAGCTACCTCAGCTGACTCCATTCGATGCGGTGGATAAGCGGCTCTCCCGGGTGACCGAGCTCCTAACTCTATCTCTAAAGGAACCTGAGGAGAAATGCACTTTCAGTGCCTGTGTTCAGGATCTTGTTCTTTTGGTCATGATTACATGAACATAGTTTAGGGTAGGAATGTAGACCGACTGGTAAATCGAGAACTTTGCCTTTTTGCTCAGCTCTCTCTTTAACAAAACAGACCATTGCAGCATCTGCATTATAGCAGCAACTGCATTAACCCATCTATCGATTTCACGCTCCATTCTCCCCTTACACGTAAAAAGGAATCTAAGATACTTGAACTCCTCCATTTGAGGTAGGGACATTCCTCCAATTTGAGGGAAACAAGCCACCGTTTTCTGGTCGAGGAACCATGGCCTTTGATTTGGAGAGGCTGATTCTCATCCTGCGACATCACACTCTGCTGCAAATAATCCCAGTGTATTCTATAGGTCTTGGCAATTGTAAACAAATTCATAAATAAACCACAAAAAGATAAAAAACATACAACTTAGAGAATAACTCCCAGACTATAGGCATTAATATTAACACTGGTGTTAATAATTTTAACGGTTGTGGTTTGTCTTAGGATTCACTACCAGCTGTTCAATGCCTTGTACCTGCAGCAGCTGTTAAAAAGATCTCAAACAGAGGTTAGGGAAACTACAATCATCTTGACTCCCCCTCTCAATCCTGTGCAGTTCCTCCTTGTCTGCTATGGTGTAACTTGAGTACTAAGCTGAGATGGTGTCATCCATTCATTCTATCTTCTCTAACAGATTATCCTTTTGTTTCTAGATCTTTGGTATTCCTTATGGCTTGCGATTTACACAGTTCCCCTAAATAATATGATGTTTTAAACAGGCAGCTATGAACCCATTACCAATATGAGCTGTCTAGCATGATATAGGATTACGTCACAATCATGCAAAGTAGAAGTGTCAAATGATATTTTGATCAATAGAATCTGATGTAGATTATAGGATGTTGAAGATGGTGCAAAGCAACTGGGCTCGTTTTCTAAGCGCACAAATAATTTGAAACACCTGCATGTGAACTGTGACCCAGAGCTCACCCTTGAGAGCTCGTTTGGTTCCATAACCCCACCTACATGTTTTGAAAGCACACAGGGACAGTGATAAGTGCATTCACATGTATACATTTCAACAGATCAGGCTCTTTGCATTCTTTAAACTTGCATAGTGATATTCACAGACCACCGTGTACCAGTAAACTAATGGCCTCATAAGGTCTACCAGATGGTTAAATAATAACACGCACAAACACATATTTCTTCATTAGACCTGCGTTAGGAGGTGTTACTGTCATGAGATTAATGAAACCTTGTCAGAATGAGGAACTCTGTAGCTGTTAATTTTTTGTTTATTCCGACAGATAGTTTGATGAGTCTAAAATGTGGTAAACGTCCATCACTGGAGAGACAGAGAGGGCGCGGAAATAAGGAAGGATGTATGGATGTCAGACGATGACACAAATCAAAACTGAAAAGACAATTATGGTCGATTACACAGTCATCAGTGTCCATCCCTGGCACCCTACAAACCCAGGAGATAGACTAACAGGCGTAAAACGAGCTTTTAGCTGCCACAAAGGGTGGCCAGCCCTCATACTTGGCATGCTTGCAAATAATTCCCATGAGAGATGATCTCCAATGCCTGTCAAGCACTGATAAGAAAAAAAAAGTCCAAAAAAACGACAACCCAAAATTAAAAAACTGTGTCAGGCAGGTTTGTTGCTTTCTTTATTGTTGGCTGAGGATATAATGATAGTTTAAGGAGCATAATTTGAAGACCTTTTGTGAAGCAAAATGTTTAATTGACTACTCTGAATTGTAAATTGCATTTATATTTTTCTTTCAATAACTAAAAACGTACTGGTTTTAATGAATGAATAATAAAAGACATACCGTACATTTCAAATTCTGGTAAACTGGCAACCTTAAAAACGGATTAAATGTACTTCAGATTAATTTACTCTGCAGATGCCCGGTTGATCTGCAAGACGGAAGCCTCCTCCTGTAACTGTCTTTGGTAACAGTTCAAATACCAAGAGGGTCAAAGAGCTACTTCAGCTCCAATAAAGAGGCCAAAGGTGTTCTGGCCCTGTGCATGGTTTCAGCATTAACCTTTGCAGGCTGCTTGTACAGAATGGAAATCTCATCTGTCAAATTGTGCTACTCTCCTTTAAGGTTTTTCTCTGTCTGGGAATGTAATCACTAAATGTTCCAGTGTCCTAATTGATTGGAATGAAGTAATCTAGCCACTCATAACAAAGTATGTAATTTATGCAAATGATTCACTTTGTTGGCTAATTTGTTTTAATTCGTGTATTCATTGCAGCTGTTTGAATATGTATTGCAGATCAGTTTTCCTCTATTCCGTATGATGATTTAATTAATTTTCAGATTTTAACTTAATAAGAGAGAGGAAATTGGAAATAAATTCATTGACATTGAAAGTAAATGACCTCTCTGCACTTTTCTGCACTCAGAAAAAGTTTACTGCTTTGTCTTTTGTGAAATTGCTACAGCTTTATGGATTTTCGGCACAATCCTTGTAGAAATTACACCCCTTCAGTTATCTGAACTCCAGATTTGTTTCTTAACTCTGGTCTATTCTACCTATTATCCTGTATACATGAGAGGATTCCGTTAACTCCAGATATGGTCACATCACAGCACCGCAAGTCCTACTTTAGATGAGGTTTGCTTTAGATCCGCGATATTTTCATCTGAGCAGATAGCTCTGCACAGAGAGCAAGTAGACAGACCGATGCCTTTTTCCATGGCTGGCGTCGTAGCTCTGATCGGGTGCATACCTAAGCAATCCTTTCTCACCAAAGAAGCAAGCAGCCAGGATTTGCACCCCCCTCAGACCTAATCCCCGTAACAACCTCAAAACAGACAGACCATCGTGGAACTGCTGCTGTTTCAGTTGCTTTAAGACAGAGCTTGTAGTCCTGAGCATGCAGTTCAGACACACCCTGGACACATGCATGTTCATACTAGTAAACTATTAGTGCTTCATGTTATAGTTGAACAGACATAGTTGATGTGACCTGATTTTAAAATACTACTTTCAAGTATCATTAGTTAAAAAGGTTATTATGTATAGAAATCACATAGTTGAAGTTTATATATCTGATATTTCCTACTATATTTTGTTAAATCTTTGTATATGACATACCTCATGTTATTTGTAGCGGTTACTTTAAATGAATATGTTAAACACAAATTCAGTATTTTATATTAAATGTACATTTTCTGATCAGAAAGGAAGTTGGAAAAGCTTTTGCTTTTCCATCAGTCTTCTTCATTTGTTCAGCAAAAAGCTACTTGGGTTTTGGTCTTGGCTTTTTCTCTGCTTTCTTTAACATGGCTTGCATTTTCCGAAGACTTTTTCAGAACTTCTCACGCAAACCCCTTTGCAGCTGTTCACAATGGATCACTGATACCCCAGCAGCCCTGACATCAGAACACAAAATATGAAAAAAAGACAGGCCTTACTCACATTTGCACATACACACACCCGCTGTTTTAGGCACGACTTTACATAAAGATAGATAGCTGCACACAAACACACCTTATGCTTGCTTCCCTGTGTGCCCTTTGTTCTCCTTTATGAGGACATGGGGATTTTGGAGAAAGACACAATATGTAATGTGATACAAGCAGTTGAAGCAAAAGAAAAGCAGTTTTGCTTACTGTAAATTCAGGTTACAAGTTATTACCACCATTCATTTTATTCAATCTCTATTGTAGCACTGTAGTGTTTTTTGACAGGATTAGAAAAAAATGACAGCTAATTAATACACAGAAACATAAGTATTCATTCCTTTTCAACTTTGTACCATTTCATTATGTTACAGCAGCATCTTAGCAGCAAAATTCACATGTTAGCTTTGGTGGATTTAAATGTTTTATTATTTTATAGTTGTGTGATACTTTTTTTATTCATATGATGGATTAAACAGTCTTCTGTTAGATGTTAAATTATTTGGTATATTAATTAGTAACTTAACACTGAAATGAATTTCTAAACAATTTAATATCTGAACTGTCTGCTGAAATGTTGGCATAAAGAAACAAACAGAAAGAACATCTGAGGGCCTCACAAAATATATTTATATTGAAATAAAATAATACACTATTTTATGCGCTGGTCTATAAGCTAAAAGCCCTAAAATATGTTGAAGTTTGGGGTTGAGATATGAAAAAAGGTCACAAAGTTTAAACATATACATTATTTTTTTTATCTTTAGCTCTAAAATCGTGGCAGACATGTCTGGTTATCCAGGAAGCTGTTCCCTGTTAGGATAAAAAAGAGAGCTACCATTCCAACAGTGACCAAAAGAACAACTTTTATGTATAATGGGAACTATAGCTGCCAATTGCAGCATTGTTTATCCATAACGGCAGAAATCGAACAACTTTCAGATATAATTTCTTCTTTTCTAATGATTTACACCTTCTGTGTCTCCTTTTAGGTGATGGGCTTACTGAACCCGAGCGGAGTGCCTCATCAGTCCCAGAGTGACTTTGCCCTCTCCCCTCTCACAGGAGGCCTTGAGCCCAGTGGAGCCATGGCTGCTAGCTGTCATGGCTCTCAGCGCTTGGAGGCCCTTCCAAGCCTGAGCAGCATGCCCCCCCTACCAAGCACACAGTCTTACTGCCCACCTTCCTACACCTCCCCAGCCTATGCCGTCGACCACCACCCTAGCTACCAGTATGGACAGTACAGTCAAAGCAAGGTAGCGTATCTGTTTTTACTTACACATTCATTTGTGCTGATTGTTTTTAAAAGGATACATCTTTCTCCAATGCCATCCTCTGGTTATTGATTTAGCCGAAACTTCAGGACCTGCATTTAATTGCAAAGACCCGTCTGATTAGGGAACGTCTCAAATCTCTGTTCTGCACTGGAATTACATTGGGGTTTAGAGATCACTAGTGGCCGGGATACTTCAGTTTATATTATCATCATTATGGTGGCCCGGGCCTCTATCTCAGCACACATTTTTACTAGCTGTTCTTCCATGACCCTGTGTGATGAGCTTGCCCATCAAACCCACAGTGTAGCTCACCTAGCCATGTAATGACCCCTGTGTAACAATGATAGCTGCCCAAATAAAAGGAGCCACATTCTCAAAGTATGTTTGACAGGAGGGAGGGGGGATTTTGTGGGTTGGAGGGCTGATCTGAGGTACAGCACCACATGTTAAGTCGGCCCATCAGTGGCAACATCTTGATGTCATTAATTTAGGCAGGGACCTGGGAGAAAACCACATGTTTTGGAGGTGGTGATGGGGGGGGACTTCTGCTAAAATGTATACGTGTATGTACGTGAACACAGGTTTGTGCGTATGAAACCATGGCGAGTAGCCTCTTTAACAGGGGGGCGATTATTGCCTTTGGCAGCCTAGGATTAGAACCATGTGTCTCTGTGGAGGTCATATTTGGAACTGTTATTGATCAGTAAGGCAGTGGCAGAAATCCAGGCTAAAACTTGATCAACTCCACAACCTTTGGGATTCTGTTTATGGTGTTTTTATCTTGGAAAAAAAAAGATTGTCTGCTTTAAAGTAACAACCATTCAGACTATAATTTTTGTCTTCAGATTTTTTATGGCTTGCAGTATGTTGCAGAAAAGGTTTAATCTCCTGTTTTCTGTCCTTTCTAGGTGCCTTTCATTATATGAAGCCCCGACATGGACTAAGAAATATCAATACTATGACATTCCTACCTGGAGAACACCGCCTTCCATTGCCCTTGCCAACTTTTACAGCCCTGTGGAGAGCAAGACCAGTACTAGGGGAGGTGGACTTACCTGGTTTAGGACTGAAGGTGCAAAATCCCCCCCCACCCCCCACCCCCCCACCCTCACGCCCATGATGCCATCCTCCAAGGACCAAGCAAGGACAGTTTATCATGCTTTGATGCAGGTGGAAAAAAAAACAACAACTTTGTGTTCATGACTTATAATTTGAATTTAAAAATAAGACTGGGATGTATTTTGAACGTTTCCACCACAAGGGGCCTCTGTGGTACTTTGTGTTTGAATGTGGGACAGGAGGGTGATGCTTCGCTCCGCTGAGACTCATCTAAGAATGCCTTCATAAACATGTCTTACTGTATATAGACTTAGATAAAACATGTGGCTGCGATTGGAAATCCAGCAAGAAGTTGTGTTGGTGCAACCCAAAGAAAGTGCAATACATCCATACCTCATGAGCTGTACATGAGCACAGATTGAGGGTTTCCTCTTATATCCTCAATGGACTGCTCTCTCATTTTAGTGGTATTAAAATTTGGGTGTGTGCATTTATCAGTCAGGGGAATATATCAAGCAATTGATAGTAGTGAATGTAGTCATACAGGAATTGCCAAAAAATATAAACACCAGATTTTCAACCAGTGAATAGTGTATTCATCTTGAAAGTTAATTCTTGTTTTTTTTGTATGTTTATTTAGTTGTTACCAGTACCTTTCTAATTTTAGTTCCAATCCTTATTTATTAAATGTTGCTTGTGTTTTTTTGTTTTTTTTTTGTTTTTACAGAAACTTTTCTAAAGTTCTCCACTGTGCTCAAGTCTTACAGACAGTTCATTATTCCCCTTATGATTTTTTTTTTTTTTTTTTTTTTACAAAGCTGGGATTTTTTGTTGTAACAAGTTTTGTGTAAAGTATAGCACTATTACTATTTATAATAAACAACATACAAAATAAAAATGTTTGCACATTGAATTACTTCTATATGTTGGTGCGGTATAAATTAAAAAAATAGCTTAATTTTAAATTCAATAACCAACTGACAACAATTTAACAGTTCAAAAAAGGTAAAATATAAGTTAAATGTCTCAATCGTTCCCTTTGTATGATTATTGTCTTTGTCGAGTTGCTATTCTGAAAGAAAGCATCATGGCCCAGAGGGTTCTATTCAACCTTAAGAAAAGAAATTATCTTTAACATTTTATCAGAATAAATGTGATATGTGTTCTATTATTTCACTACACAAATATAGAAAGAAAAATCATACTTTGTCTCTGCTCCATTTTGTAAAATTTGATTTTGAAGGCTTCAGCGAGAGCAAATAATTTAATAAATGACAGAAAACATTCTTCTGGAATTGAAAACCTTATTTTGGTTCATTTAGATTCTACATAGTTAAACTTTATTGTACCTGAGACTCATGAATGCTATATATAATTGTCCAAAATATAATTTAAAGGTATTTAAAAGCAAGCTTTGCATTTAGGGTGTGTGCATAACTGCAAAAAGGCTGTTCCAACAATTTGTTTCATGTTATTTCCTGCAATATATAATTTCTTATTTAGAAGTAAAGGAAAAATGTCATATTGAAATCTAAGGAAAAAAGTAAAAAAAAAAAAAAAAAAAAAGCCAAAAGAAAAATAAAAAAAACAGCTGTGTTTATTGAATGTGAATAAGTTGTGATAAATACTGCAAGTGTGCATGTAAAGAAATATAGACCAAGGATAAAACAGTTAATCAAAAATGTTAAATTTTGTTAGGAAATTAGTAAGATAAAATTATGTACACAAATCTTATGAAAAATGTATTAGGTCACATGCATTTTTATCGGTCATCAGTTTACCCTTTTATTAACAGTGCATGTAAATATACTGCCGATTGGAAGAACCTGCTTGTTAATCATGGGTTTACTCATATTCCAGAAAGTTAAGCAACTTGTATAAGTCAATTGATTGCACAACTATGGGTAAACCTTACCTGAAATATAATTATTGGGATATACTGTATTGCTATGTGTATAAGTATGATAAAAAAAAAAAAAAAAATATTATGCAAAGTTTCCTTATAACCCAATGCTTAGAACATTTAATACTTTACTTTAGCTGTTTTTTTTTTTATTATTATTTTGATTTAGTTCTGTCAAAAATCAAAAAACAACTACTGCGATAGAATTGAAAGAATTGTGTATCCTGGTGTTGGAATAACAGTGAATATATGTCACCTAAAATAGTTACGGGGTAATCTAAATATTTTCAAAGTAAAATATAGTTGTTAAATTGTTGTTATAGTAGATGATAATTGTGGGTATTGCTTATTTGCGTTAAGAAATTTTGAAAAACTGAGACTGAAAGGAAGTGTAATTAAATTATATTTGAGATTTTAAAACAATTGCTTGAAATAAATATTGCTTGAAATTAAATATATATATATATATATATATATATATATATATATATATATATATATATATATATATATATATATATATATATATAAAAAATAAAAGTATAATTCCATGAATAAAGTTTTATAATGTGTCACAATCATCATGCTAAAAAACAAACTAAATAAAGTCATAATTAAATAATCTTTTTAAGTCAGAGGGACTTCTGTAAGAGTTTTTCTAGGTGTCTTGGAGTCTAGTGATTTTCTGCTTCACATATGATCTCCTGTAGCACTAAATCATAAATATATCCTCTTTCATAAACACTCCTTTCGGACAAATTCCTGCTCCCCGGTGGCTCCTTCACACCCCATAATGACTAAAGCAGAGCGGCTGTAAATTATATAAGCCCGGCAGTCCTCAAACACACTGGGACATCAGTCACTGACATGGCTGCACAGAGCTCAGACGGCTTTGGGCTCTAACTGCCAAACAGAGATGAAAAACACTGCTCACCCAGTGGGTAGAGTGCCCAGAAGGTTAAACAAATCACAAGCGCATTTTTATCATTCCCCACTGTGTTTTTTTCTCTCACTTTCCGTCAGAGCTTTAGAAATAAGGTAAGCAGCTGTCGGTGTCATTCCCTGCACAGTCCTAAAAGGAGCATTTATGGATGTTTTGGTGTTAACAGCGTGTTTTAATGTATTTTCATTTCTTTCTTTTTTTTCATTTTAGCTTGCTGATTTGCATTTGTTTGGGATTGGTTTGCTAGTTGAGCAAGATGAGTTTAAGGTAAGATTACATTTCACTATATTTTTCACACTGAGAAAGTTTTTTTTTTCTCTTTTACAAGTGCTTTTTGACTTGTAAGAGTAAAAAAAGCCAAAGCGGTTGCTTTGAACAAAGTGTCAGTTGAGCAGCTACACACTGGAGACAACTTAACCTCTGACCCCAACACTCTTTGAAATGAGTAGACTACTTGACCGGAGCTGACAACAATCCAAATGTCTCTGAGGCTTCCAACCCCCAAATTAAAAGTGAAAGGAAGAGGGACAAAGAAGATGGGCTGAAAAAATATAAACTTTTTCGACAAGAATAATAATAAAGCAGAGTTGTTCAGCATCAAAATATTTGATAAGAAGCAACCAGATGATAATAGTATCAGTCTAACCAACCAAATATATTTGTATGTGTGCTTCTATCATATTCTGCACATAGCAGGACAGAATAAAGGGTGTACTATCTCTGAAATTCCACCTTATCTAACCACTTGAAGAGTTGCTGCCTCACAGCATGCCTTTCCTACATTTAGGAGTGCCTCCCTCCTGTGAACCCCTTCCATTTGCTGACCATTTTCAGTTGCCTATCTTCAGTTTCCTACATATTTTTCAGTGTTATTGAGCTTTATCTGATATTTTCTTTTACTTTGAACATGAAGAGCATGAACCGGACCCTCCTACTTGCTCTCCTCAGCCGGTGCAGGCAAATTCTCAAGGACACAAGTCTCGACATCCGTGATACTGAAAAGAACGGGACTTTTTTTCACACCACAGTAAGTCCCATTGCTAAAAATATTTCGGCGTTCTCCTCCTCCAGAGAGACTTATGACAATGCTTACTTCTATATACTTTTTGTGATGCTGTTTTACTCCTTCCTCGCCATGACACTTTTTAAGTGCTTCATAAGTAGCAATGAAGAGAAAAAAGATCCCTATGAAGAGTTCATAGAAACACGGCACCCATCAACACAAACATTCAACGAAGGCCACATGTCCGAGAATTTTTACTTTGAAGAGGAGAGCAGCCTGGCTTTTTAAGGAAAATTTGAGGAGGGGTATTGGTGCATTTGGGGAATGTTTTGACAGTCACCAAGCCAGAAAAACGTCAGGCAAGACCTAAAAGGGATTTTTTTACTCTCACTAACTTCATTTTCCCTGTTCCCCCACCTACTCCCTCCTTTCGCCAACTGACAATCAGAAACGTACCACAAGTATGGCCAGTCTGGAGGCATAAGGGGAGACGTGTGCCTCTGATCATCTGAAAGGAGGACGGAAACATGTAGAAGTGTGGGTCAATGGCAGGCCGGAATCTCCTCCTGTGAGGCCCAATCAGGATCAATAACATTGGGGCCCTAAACATGCACACTCTGCAGGGAAAAAAAGGTTATGAAGACTCCATGAATATGTTTTTATGTGTGGTGTCTGTGCTTTAAAAAAAAAAAAAAAAAGAGGGTAAAAAGTGTCAATTTAACCTGCTATTTTGCTTAAATCTGAGCACTTATGTTACATTTGTGAGAAACAAAAACTTATTGAACTTAAATATTTTATCAGATCACAGACCTTAAATATTCTATTAGGATAAAAATCTTAATAATGTTGTGTACACATTTAATTCCACCAACTACAAGACCTTTATATGCCTGCTTTGTAGATTTAAAGGTTCTTTTTCAGATCATGTATAGTTTAGACAGGAAGCAGGGCACCTGTAAATGGATTTAAGGCCTTTGACTGGATTATCCTAAGATAGATTTATGTGCTAATCTTAACAATTACATGCATCTCTGGCAGTGTTCCTCATTTACCCACTGTGCCACAATAAAAGTATTTCTATTCTATTCTATTCTATTCTATTCTAATCTATTCTATTCTATTTAGGCTTGCTGTCTGAATGGAGCATGAGCAACACATTCTGGTGTTATTTTGACCAGAGCATCTTCTTTAATATAGTGTCCTCTGTATTATTTTTGTGCTTATTACTTTAAAATATAAAAATGTGTTTTTCCATCCAACCTGTGGACCTCTGCTCATTCAGGGTAGCCATGGAGCTCTTTGCTGGTTTCTCTGGCGGAATAACTAGCCAAGTCTTGTTACGTTTGCAGCTGTGCGATACTCTTTTCTTTTTTAGAAGATGCATTGAACTCTGTTCTCCAAAATAGATTCTGTTGCCTTTCTCCAAATTACTTTAAATTACACAGATATTACTTCTTCTAAGTAAATGAATTCTGGAATTGAACTGATACCCAGGAGTTTATTTAGGGGTTTCTGATTAAGATGAGCACAATAAATGGGTGCTGCACTTTTTTATTGTATGTTAATGAAAACCAAGTGCTTACTCCCTTTAGGTTTAAAGTAGCACAATACTTTGTGTAGGTCTATCCGATCAATTCTGAAATTTCTGGCTATAAAATGAGAAACGAGATTCTTTTTTTTTCACTTTTGCAAGGTAATGCAAAACAAAGACACGTTCTTCAAAAATACCAAATTAATGTTTAAAAAAGGCAAAAAAAAAAAAAAAAAAAGGAACATAGAGATACAGCAATATTTTATCTTAACCTGACAATAAATGTTGATCTTTCTTTTTTTTTCCAAGGAACAAAATAGGATCTTAGAACTGCATTGGTTCTAATTAAAAGGTAGAGCTCTGTAGTAGTCAGGACTGAGTAACATTCTTTTGCAATTACATTGTAACTGATCTGTAGTTGGTCGATGCAAAGTTACAGATCGCTTCAACCCCCCAGTGACCCCTTCAGAGGTAACTTTACAAAGCTGTAGCGAAATGTGAACCCAGAACTCCCTCTCCTGAATTAACTTCAATTGAGTGGAGGGTTGTTGTTGGGAGGATTTCTCCAGAAAACACACGCTTCTTATTTGTGCACTAAATTACAAAAGTTACCAAGTCACAGAGAGAGTGGATGCTTCAGATTAGTGACCGGCTGGACACATAGTGCTCTAGTCCCTCTGCCAAATATTTTGGTGTGATTTGCACAATTGAATCTCGCGGTGGGGGGGTAACCTGGATGGACAATAATGCTCTAATTTGAACTATCCGCTCATGCCGGTCCCTGAGGCTGTCCGGGGCTGTTTTTACTTCACCCTTCATAATTAAATTTAATCATTATCCTCCTGCTGTGAAGTGCAGGGCTGTGCATGTGTTTGCACAGGCAACCCCCTTCCAGCTCAATGCAAAAATCAACCCTCAACGGAGCAAATATTTATTGATATATCAAATAAGAAAATAAAAAAAAAACAATTCTGTAAATGATGAATTGTTCAACACAGAACTTCTAAAAATAAGAGAGCTGCAAAGGCTCTTCAATCACACCTTCAGTTGTTAAAGCATTTAATGCCAAGTATGTATGACCTGACTGCAAAGCATTTACGATAGAAATACAGTCGTGCAAATGGTAATGAGTGTTGAACATTTTTGGAATGATCTTATTTATTCCACTTATAATGAAACATCCACCATCTGAGCTTGCTTTAAAATAGAGGATTTATGCAAGGTATGACTACAAATCAATCTTTTTATATTTTCATGAAAATGTTTTGTATATCACAGGTTTTAAGCGTAGTTAAAGAATGTTATTTTAATTAACCAATACGTCCATTATGTACAGCAAGAAACTAAAGATATGCTGAGGAACTGCTTATCCAATAGCTTAAACACGAAGAAGTTTTATCAGCAGGTAATGATCTTAGATTTTAACACTATTAAAACCAGACTAAAAGGCTCAAGCTACATATCTTAAAGGCTCTGGCCAAGGCTTAACAACAGACTTGCTGTCTACTGTATCTGTGGTCGTTAGATTGTAAGTGAGGTTCAGATTGCATAAGGGTAGATCCAAATTGATAATATGTCACCAGCGTATAACAAGTCACAGATGATAATGCACTAAAAATACAGTAAGTAAAACAATCCTTATATCAGACCCACAGCTTTATTATCAGCCATTGTTTTCAGCCTTTATTGTACACCGTGAGAGACCTGAAACTAAGCAAGAAACTTATAAAAGGATCAATGTTTGAAAAATGTGGAAAACTAAAAAAAAATTGTCACGAATAAATGTTATTATTAACTTCCCTTTTTGAAGCTTCCTGATTTTGTGGCCCGGCTTTTTTAGAAAGGCTGTTCCACACCACAAATGATGGAGAAATCAATCAAAAAATGTAACTAAACGGTGTTACAATGAGCTATATTATATTAAAACATTGGTTATGGCACTACAGATGCCTTTGATAAAACATCAAAGGAAGGTTATCTTTAACCAGACCAGCTTTAATTTAATATACAGTTAAGATGATTTATGTAAGTTATTATTAAATCAATTTTTATTATTTTATTTTTTTTTAAACAGGCCTTCACAGGCTTCAAGTTTAATTGAAGAACACTATTTTAATCTCCCAGTGTGGTCATTATTTACAGCAGGAAACTAAAGATATGCTGCCATCTGCTGGTAAAAACAAAACATTACTAAATTTGTTTACGCTGTCACACAGAACGCAGGTCTGGTGATTTCCTTCTGTCTTACTCCCTTTTAATTATCATTAAAAAAATAAATCTTTTGGACTTTAGGGGTTTGGCCCATGTATACGCCAAATGCTTTCCTTTGCCTGGGGTGCATCATACATGGTGAATATGCTGCTTGCAGGTACATTCTCCTCAAGTTTTAAATGAAATAGCTTATTACTGGTTGGGGCTCACAGCTGCTCCTGATCTAATAGCGGCCTTAAGTGAAATGTTATTTGGAGGCCGCCCTTTATGTGTAAAGATGCTGCTTGATGGCCCTGCTGATGTGCTGACACATTTCAGCATTGATCCTATTATGGTAAGAAACACAGACAAGAAAACCATACAAGCAGATTCAAATATGTTTATGTTTCCCTAGTAAACTAAATCATAAAATGAATGTAAATACTTGCCTAAAAAATAGATGGAAAATTAATCACTTACTTCAAATCAATTATCATATTAATTATATTAATAATAGTTAATGATTAAGTATTGATTTTGAAGATTGATGCAAAATGCAAGTACTAAAACAACTATGACTACTTCTACTAATAATAAAAAACAAGAAGGAAAATAGTGATTCCCTAAAAATTCAAAAAATATCCATTGGACTTGGTTTCCAAGATTTGAAGACGTTTCGCCACCTCTCCTGGAAGCTTTCTCAAAAAGTGAGAAAGCTTCCTGGAGAGGTGGCGAAACCAAGGGCGCAGATAGCGTGTACGTCAGGGGTGTTCTGACGTACACAGATTAGAATGACCCTCAATCCGTCCCCCCCACTTTTATAAAAAAAAAAAAAAAAAACATACGGCGAAACTCACAGAAAATCAAAAAGCTTTTTCTAATTTACTGCTTTGCAACAACAACATAAAACAGTCAGATCATAGACGGGCAATCGTTTTGTTTAACTGCAGGCTGCCTGCGTCGTAGAAATTCTAATCTAAAAGTTATCCTGTCTCTGGCATTTACATCTCGAGCCTGGTTTCCATGGTTACTCAGACAGTAAGTAGTGGTGGGATAGTTCCCAATTCCGGAGTCCGGACATCAACATGAGGCCAGCCAAACCGAAAAAACAGAAAACAATTGCATCCTTTTTTCGAAAAGCACCAACTGTAAGTAAACTGTACGGTGGCTGGGAAGTGCAAATCAACAATACAAAATCTGAAACACTTTTAAAAATCTTGAAACAACTTTACATTTGAGAAAACAAAATTACAACAAACGAAATACTTTTACAAATCATAAAACAAATTTACATTTCAGAAAACAAAATTACAACAAACGAAACACTTTTACAAATCATAAAACAAATTTACATTTCAGAAAACAAAATTACAACAAACGAAATACTTTTACAAATCATAAAACAAATTTACATTTCAGAAAACAAAATTACAACAAACGAAACACTTTTACAAATCATAAAACAAATTTACATTTCAGAAAACACTTTTACAACTGACAAAATCTGACGGAAAGGGAGGGACTGTCTTCGAAGCTTACCCGGAAGTGATAACCGGAGAGTTCATGCAGGATGGAAGCTAATCGAGTTGCGTTTTGCCCGTTCTGCGGCACTCATATGAGCAGTTTAACGCGGTTTTATTTTTCCTGTGGTCGGTCCTTGGAGTTTTTAAATGGTACAGAACAGACGGTAGAACCAGATATGCTGCAGCTGTGCATATATTATTTTATTGAGTGTCACTCGTATGTTGTAATCGTAGACATGATGTCATGTTTACATGGTGTACACATCAGCTTGAGGTCTCTGAAAAGCAAACTGAATGATGCCGGTGTCGTGCCAAGGTAGTTATCCCTGCGAAAATTTGTATCCCCTCGTCGGGAGCGCGTATGGAGTAGGAAGAACAACCCGAGTTAACTCCGCTTCAATTCCAACGTGCAGAACTTGAAATTTGAAAGGTTTTACGTGTATGAAAGTTGAGCTTTACTGTTTTATTCTTTACTTCACATGTTATAGCAGAATATCGCCAGTGATATTGATCTAAAACTAATAATAAAACACAAACGTTTGCTTGAAAGCTGGTCGCTGACAGCAGTGTTTACTCCTCCCTCTGAAAGCAAACAGATCCTTGTTCTTTTCCATACGTGCCTTAAAAAAATCTCTCATTGTTACAGTGTCCAAATGTTCTCATCCCATTGAAAACTGTTGTAAACCATATACTTGTAATAAAAATGAAATAGAAAATGGAGTGCACGTGTAATCATTAAAGACTATATGCAAAAGGAAATAATTTTTTCCTAGTTGAAATTTAGTACTTAAATATTTGTGTTTTATGTTAACTTA